GCCCCTGTAAAAGTGGTTGTGAACCGCAGGTTGAGAACCCCCGTTCTGGTTAGCATCCATGAAGGTAGAGGGAAGGCATGGTGGCAGGAAGCAGGAAGCTGAGGTCTTACATCGTGAATTGCAAGCACAAAGCAGAAAAAAAAAAAAAACTGGAAATGGCCTGAGTCTTTAAATTCTCAAAGCCTATCCTAAATGACGTACTTCCTCCAGCAAGGCCTCATCTCCTAAGCAAAGCCAAACAGTCCTACCAACTGAGGACCATATTCACACACCCAAGATTCTGGGGGACATTTGTCATCTCTGTGAACCTTTGCACCTGGGTATGACCTTCCGCTCTGAGACACAGGCATGTCTTTGTCCCCTCTGTCCCTTTAGGGCCCAGCAGACAGTAACAAAATTTTGTTAACTCTTTAGTGAATAGCATTTGTGTTCTTATCCTAGGGGAGCTTGACAAGATTCACAAAATGATGTAATTTATTTCTAAATAGCATGATGTAACCCAGTGGTAGCCTAGCCTCTTCACAAGAGGGAGCTCTTTGTGGGTCTTGGAAGATGTTGAGTGGAGCTGGGAAGAGGATCCTAGGTAGAAGCCTCATTAATGGTCATGTCTCCCCTGCTTTTCCTTTCTTTCTTTTTTAAAGATTTATTTATTCTATTTTATGAGCATGGGTGTTTTGCCTGCATGTATGTCTGTCTGAGGGTGCCAGATTCCAGACTCCCTGGAACTGGAGTTACAGACAGTTGTGAGCTGCCATGTGGGGGCTTGGAAATGAACCCAGGTCCTCTGGAAGAGCAGGCAGCCCTCTTAACCGCTGAGCTGTCTCCCTAGCCCTTCCCCTGCTTTTTCTAGAGAAAAAGGTGAGAGCCAAGTTGAGCCCCTTCCAGGCTCCCCAAAGCTGTCGCCTTTTTCAGCCATTCAGGACAAAAGCCCAAATATAAATGTAGAATCTGTGTGCTATTTGGATGTCGCCCAGCCTCTGAAGCCCATCTGTACTGGAGCACTCCCTGCATCTCAGTGCATGGCGGGACCCACAGATACTTCTTTCCCAGATGACCTGGCATCTAGGTGTGGCCTGGGACTCAGGCATGATCATATCCCGAACCAGGGTTTAGCATCTGGAGTGAGGCACTTAAAGAGCAGGGACCAAGGAGAAAACCTTTAGTGGCGGGATCACTACACTAGTGCCACAGATTTTAATAAGAGTGTTGTCACGGCAGAGAAGGGGAGCCCAGCTCTGGCATCTCACACCCACAGAGTCAGGGGAGTATGTTCTGGTACCAGCTGGAAGAAGCCATAAGGTTCATTTGGGCAAGGACTGCAAGGTCATACCGGTCATAGCTTAGCCAAACACCTTATTCCGTTGACTTGGTCTGTCACTCTCCCTTGCCATCAGTAAGAATTAACAGTGTTACACTTACGCCAAGGGAAGTAGGGTTTTATTACTTACATTAGAAGAGGTATGTTTCTTCTTTCCAGTGCTGGGAATCACACCCAGAGTCCTGCACACTCTAGGCAAGTGCTTTACCTCTGAGATACCCATCCTTAGGGATTCAGTGACTAATGTAGATTAAGCTGGGTCTCCGTTCAGAAAGGGTGACGGCAACATCTCGGGGTTTCTATTGTTGTGATGGCCAAAACAACTAGGGGAGGAAAGGGTTTATTGGGCTTATATTCTCACACCATAGACTATCACTGAAGAAAGTCCGGACAGGAACTAAACAGGGCTGGAACTTGGAGGCAGGAGCTCATGCAGAGGCCATGGAGGGTGCTACTTACTGGCTTGTTCCTCATGGCTTGCTCAGCCTGCTTTCTTATAGGACCCAGGACCAGCAGCCCAGGGATGGCACCACCCACCATGGGCTGGGTCCTCACGAATAAATCAATAATTAAGAAAATGCCCTATAAGCATGCATACAGCCTGATATTTTTGTTTGTTTGTTTGTTTGGTTGGTTGGTTTGGTTTGGTTTTTGGTTTTTCGAGGCAGGGTTTCTCTGTGGCTTTGGAGGCTGTCCTGGAACTAGCTCTTGTAGACCAGGCTGGCCTCGAACTCACAGAGATCCGCCTGCCTCTGCCTCCCGAGTGCTGGGATTAAAGGCGTGTGCCACCACCGCCCGGCCCTATTTTTATAATTAATTTAACCTTTTTTATTTTATGTGCTTTGGTATGAGAAGGTAGTAGATCCTTTGGAGTTACAGACAGCTGCAAGTTGTCATGTGGGTGCTGGGAATTGAACCTGGGTCTTCTGGAAGAGCAGCCAGTGCTCTTAACTGCTCAGCCATCGCTCCATCTCCTGGAGGCCTTTTCTTAATTGAGATTCCCTTCTCCCAAATGACTTTAGCTTGTATCAAATTGACATAAAACTAGCCAGGACAAAACATGTATTTTCTGACTACTTATTAGGAAAAAAAATCCAGCTAAAGAACTTAAAAGTCTTTATTTACTTACTTATTTTCATGGATAAGTAAATAAAGGAGGACCCCTGTATAATGAATGACCTTGTCAAGGAATGGCCAGACCTCTCAGATTGCTGTCAGGTCTCTGACTCTACCTCGTCACTTCCACCTCTAATTGGCTTCCATTTGAAGCAAAACTTCAAAATGAGCCTCCAGTCCTCAGCTCTTGACTTGTACGAGCAGCAGCTATAACTTCCTGTGTTCAAAACTCAAGCCTGCCTGCTTTGCCCTTGTAAGCTAAGTTCTTGTTACACCGACTTCTGCCTCTCTTCTTCCCTCCTTCTCTCCCTCCCTCCCTCTATGTGTATATGTGTGTGTGTGTGTGTGTGTATGTATGTATGTGTGTGCATATGAGTGTATGTGTGGTGTTCGTGTATGTGTGTATGTGTTTGTGTGATATGTGTATGTGTGTGTGTATGTGTTTGTATGTGGTATGTGTATGTGTGTATATGTGTGTATGTGTAATGTGTGTATATGTGTTTATGTGCGGTGTGTGTGTGTAATGTGTGTGTGCATGTATTTATGTGCGGTGTGTGTGTGTGTGTTGAAATTGCTCTCACTCAGGTTCATGTTTTAAATCCATTGGCTCAAGAAGGGACAAGTCGCTTCCTTTCTCCCTTTGCTTCAGGAAGTTTGCGCAACAACTGCCGAGCCGCTCTGCCGGCTGCCGCCAGATCCCATCAGAACACATTCCAGCAGCTCACCCGCTGTAGAGCCCTTCTGAGGGAAGCTCTTGTCATCAGTCTGGTGGCTGATGAGGAGCGGGAGAGTGGCTGACAATCATTTACTCATTAATATCGATTGCATCAACGCTGACCCCAGGCAGCTCATGGTGTTCTAACCAAGCAGGGTGGGGACAGTCTCCTTTCTTCCAGGGGCAGCTTTTGACCCGTCAAGCTTCAGAGTATCATGTTTTGGTGTATAAGACCCTCAGTTCTCTTGTCTGGACTAACCCTGACTTAAAGAAACCCAGGAAAGAAATTGTTCAGCTATATTAGGGATCTTATTTACAATCCAAAAAGCCTCATCCTGGCTGGGTGGTGGTGGCACATGCCTTTAATCCCAGTACTTGGAAGGTAGAGGCTTATCTCTGTGAATTTGAGGCCAGCTTGGTCTACAGAGCCAGTTCAAGGGAAGGCTCCAAAGGTACACAGAGAAACCCTGTCTCCAAAAAAACAAAACAAAACAAAAAAGCCTTATTTCCTCTGCAAGGGGGCCTCTTCTTGGGGACTTTCTTGTTGCCAGACCTCTGGGGCAGGTTATAACTGGGATGAGGAGGGTGGGAAAGGCCGCCTGGATCTTCCACCAGGCACCCACCCCACCCCACCCCCACTCACTCAGAGTCACGGGTGTCTCCAGCTGTGACTGGACCTGGGCCCAATCCCAGGATCCCAAGGCACCCTGAGCAGCGGCTCACCCTGTCCTCTGGGCTCCTCCGTCCTGCCTTTGTAAATTCATCCTTTTCACCCTCTGGATGCATCCAGCGCTCAGCTAGGCATTAAGGCTGTGTAGGCAAATCACAGACAGACCCCTGGCCTTGACATACCTTCAACCTGTGGATGAGCAGATCAAACTGACCCCAAGTGACTTCTTGCTCAGGAAGCACAGGACAGGCTGAGCTCTGATAGCTGGGATGGGCAAGGAACTGAAAGACACTCAGAAGATGAGCAGGTAGCCAGGTGAAAATGTCAGGGGACAAAGGGACAGCAGGTCCAAAGCCCAGAAGAGGAGGAGGGAAAGCCAAGAGCTAAGATAGGAAAGGAACCCAGGTAAGGACATTGACAATATTGTTTCAGTCCTGGGAGACAAGGAACCACCACTGTCACCATCCTCACTTTACAAAGAGGGAAACTGAGGCACCCAGTGACCAGGTACCCTGCTGAAGATGCCATAACTAATGATGGAGTCCTACTTGGAACCCAGGCCATCTGGCTTCTGGGTCCACCCAACATGCCGAGCTGCAACTGAGTCATGGTGACAGAATTCAGTTGCAAAGGCATAGGAAGGCCTCACATGGTAACAAGATGGGCCTGCTGAGGGAACATGTGGTGAGGGCATAGCCAGTCTCTCCAGCACAATGTGTGCCTGCTAGAGTCTCCATGAGTTTGGTGACTAAGACATTGCGGCTTAACAACAAAGACAGAAGAAATCCCACCCTCCTCTGGCTAGGACGGGGTCTCCTGAGTGATCTGCATCCCCACATTTTATCCGAGCCACTGTGGTGGTTAATATCGACTGGCCAGAAGGTCTGGGCTCTGGGAGTTTCTAGATTGTGCTTGAGGTGAGAAAAGTCATACTAATAGAAGGTAGCACTATTGCGTGGGCTGAGGGCCTGGGCTTAACGAAAAGCACAGAGGAGCACCACTGCTCATCCCTCTCCGCGCTTCCTGATTTTGGATTCGTGTGAGCTGCTACCCTCCCCCCCAATCATGTCCTCGTCCGTGATTTTCCTGTCACGATCACCTGTATCCCTGAGCTGATGGTTTCTGTGGCCTATTTTTGTGAGGTATTTTGCCATAGCAAAGAAAGTAACTCATACAGTCACCTTCTTGGGCTTGGTCTCTTGGAAATCCAGGACGAGAGGCCTCCCCAGGGGTCGCTCTACTAGGGCAGGAAGGGTAGAGATGTGGGCTCTTGTGTCTACGGCTCTCATGGCTTCCGATAGTGGTCCCTTTCACTCCGCAGCCTCCTGGTGCCTGAGATCTCTTCAATCGCTCCAGCCCACACTCGCCTCTCCCTTCTCTCAGCTCCCATGGCACTCATTGTGAGGCGGACACAATTGACTCCTGTGTGCATTGTTCTCTGTTTTGAGTTCACTCATCCGTGCAGCTCTCCCGAATTGTCTGGGGATGAGTCACAATTTGGGTGACTGTTAAGGGTTTATTGCTTTATGTACAAAAACTTTAAAACCCCAGTACCCTGAACATTTAAAAGCCCATCTCCATCTGCCCGTTCATGCATGCCCCCTGAACATTTCTTCATTCATCATCAGCTAGAAAGCTGAGGAACCAAGGATGCTTTACTTCTAACCAGGTTAAAAGATGCCAAATCTGCCAAGAAAAAAAAAAAAAAAAAGAGGGATATCGTGAAGCTTGAAGTTGAATACAACAAATGTCTTTATACCTTGGGTAGTTTCAAATAAGGACAATGTAGGGAAATTAGGGCAGTCTCTGACCAACTCCCTCCTCAGCTTTGGCAGAACTGGTATAAACTCTAAAAATTAAAAAGTATACAGTACAGCTGGTAGTTTCTCTCTCTCTATACACACACACACACACACACACACACACACACACACATACATATCAGTGATAGAGTGCTTGTCTAGCTTGCACAAAGCCCTGAGACTGGTTAATATATAAACTAGGCTTGTGGAGGCACTCAGAGAGAGGGGAGGAAGAGGATCCCAAGTTCAAGGCCATCTTTGGTTGCATAGCAAGTTTAAAGCCAGCAGGCTATGGGAGACATGGGTCTTTAAAAAATATGTATGCATGTGATATGATTGTATGTGTGTGTATATATGTATGTATATCTATAGAGATGAATCTGAAGTTAAGATCATGGCTACTCTTCTAGAGGACTCAGGTTGAATTCCTAGCACCCACACAGTACTCCCAACCATCTGTAACTTCAGCTCCAGGAGATCCAGTGCCCTCTTCTGACATCCGAAGGTACCATACATATATTGTACACACACATATGTCTAGGAAAAACGCTCTTACCCATAAAATAAATAATAATTTAAAATTTAAATGTACATGTATGCCGCGCCCGCTGCACCGCCTGTATCCGAGAATGTGCAGAGGGTGTCCGGATTGATGACACAGAGACCAGTCGGGGGTACAAAGGAAACTTTAAGCAGGTCCCAGAAGGCTCAAGAAAGCTTCCCAAGTTTAATCCCAGCACTCGGGAGGCAGAGGCAGGCGGATCTCTGTGAGTTCGAGGCCAGGCTGGGCCAACAGCCTCCAAAACAATACAGAGAAACCCTGTCTCGTAAAACCAAAAAAAAAAAAAAAGAAAGAAAGAAAGAAAGAAAGAAAGAAAGAAAGAAAGAAAGAAAGAAAGAAAAGAAAGCTTCCCAAGAAAGGCTTCCCTCAAGAAAAGCTTCCGCTGGTTATATGGCCTGACACCAGAGGCAGGGGTGGGGGGTCAGGAAGAGGCGGTTAGTCTTTGGAAAAGGTTGAGGTCAGGGCATTCTCTTGGGTGAGCCCTTATCAGGAACTTATTGCTCCAGGTAAACATTTCTTATGGACATCGGACTGTTTTCAATAAACATCTTTTTAGTAAACATTGTCTTACAGCTGCCTGCTTGCAGGCTGATGGAGAATTGGGCCTCTGGCCAAGGTCTTTTGTTCCCACACATGTACATACATATATTATGTGTAGAGCATGCCTGATTGAGAACATGACCACCATTTTTTGTATATGTGATTATTAAGGTTCACAGCTGTGCAAGTAGGTCCTGAGATACGTGGATCATGTGCTCACTATCTGTAAGTTTGTTGTCTCCATTTTTTTGTTGTTACTGTCCCTATTTTACCAAATGATTGCTTTGATAGAAGTGTCTGGATCTTGGGGCAGTCTTGAAACAAACCTGAGTTCCATTCAGAGCCACCTCCTGGCACAAGGGAGTTGACGCTTATGTCTTGTGACTAGCCACTTCTGCAAGGTTGTGGGCTAGGAAACCATGTGAGAGTGTGGTGAAAGTCCTTCCCCAGAGGACATGCAAACAATGTATTCATCTTCTCCTAAGGTTCTAATGACAAATTGAGCTATGGTTTCTCCAAAGTGTGGAAAATCAAAGAGGTTTTTGAGTTTACTTACAGAGGGCAGGTGAGAGGTTACCTACAGGAGTGCGGGCGATGTCCCCCAAAAGGCTGTACTGGAGAGTCTTTTCCCAGCAGGGATGGTTTTCCCAGGGCTGCATAGGTCCAGCCGCACAAACCTAGTCTTCCCTACCCTATATACTCTAGCCTGTCCCAGAGGAACATGCAATTAGGGCAGACTTGCCTACCACAGGTATAGGATGACGGATACTCAGATGAGGGTCCTGTGATCCTCTCTGACCCTCCTTCTGTTAGGGGATGTCAACTGTCAACTAGCCTAGCTGGGATGATCTTTTGTAAGTGGACACGACTGAACTTTCAAGGATGGTGGTTGTTTGGGCTCAGTGGATATTCCTGTACAGCAGGGCCTCACAGAACTGTCGAAGAAACAGGTGCCTCCCCTGCCCTTTACTGAGCTCCAAAGAAGCGGGTGCCTCCCCTGCCCTTCACTGAGCTCCAAGTTAAGTCTCCTACCCCTTACTCTCGTCTAAGCTCCTTGTAGGCAGCTTCAAAAATTCCAGATGTGAAACAGCATCTGGCACATGGTAGACCTCTAAGAATTTTTTTGAGGACTGGAGAGATGGCTCAGCAGTTAAGAGCACCAGCTGCTCTTACAGAGGACCCAGGTTCAATTCCCAGCACCCACATGGCAATTCACAATTGTCTGTAATTCCAGTTCCAGGTGATCTGGCATCCTTACACAGATATACATGCTGCAGGCAAAACACCAATGCACATGAAATAAAATTTTTACAAAAGAATTTTTTGAATGAATCAATGAGAAATTGAGTTAGAATTTTGACAGTATACCAGGGTGCATGTTAATGTTTCATCTTTGTGTTGTTCCCTGAGGGATCCAAGATCTTCTGTGTTGGCTTCAAGGATCTTGGTAAGCTCAGAGTGAGCACAATCCTCTTTTCATATAGTTTCCTCTGCTCTCTGTGCTTCTAAGTGCAGTGTCCCTGTGCCTTCGTACATGATTGGTCACACAGTGAGCACGATACTAACCATCAATATGACTGGCCATGCTTCCCCTTGATGGCCTGAACACACTCTCAAAACTAATCCTTCACTGAATGCCTTTTGTGTGCAAGAAAAGTCACCATGGATGAGGGAGCAAGGTCTAATTTTGCCTACTCGAAGAGCACGGTATGAAGCTGGGAACTGGGGAGAGATATACAGAAAGCATTAAAGAGAATAAGCAAGGGACCAGCGGGTGTCCCGCTTGTTCTAGATACATTGGGAGTGAAACAGAACCCCCATATGAAAATAAAAACAGCTGCCAACTCACCAGTAGATATATGCTTATCTGCCCACCAGCCTCAAATAACTAAGCATTGTGTTCAAGACAGTGGTGACTTATCCCCCACTGCAAGCATGAATAGTCCGGGCTGTTGTCGTCAGACAGACCTGTTTCTGAATCCTAACTCTAAGACTTGCCAGTTGGGTAGGTGATTTAGAGGGTCTGAGCCTTCTCCCTCAGAACCAATCAGAATCAACCAGACTGTGTGGTGTTCAGAGGGCACTGGAAAGAAGAGATAGGAAAAAAACATCCTGGGTTTTGGGAAGCATGTGTTCTGGGAGTGGTGAGATGGGCACTTCGTGGGTATACATTTAAAGTTATGGAAAGATGTCCATATCTTATGCTGAGTGGAAAAAAGTTATTGGATGTGTCACTTAGGGCTTCCAGATGAAATTATATAGACTATATGTATTAGTTCTTTCTCTCAGGCTGTGGCAAAACTACTTGACCAAAGGAACTTAGGAAGGGTTTCTTTCAGCTCTTTGTTTGAGGTGATGGTGACAAACGCTTTAGGGAGCTGGCCATGTTACATCTGTAGTCAGGACCAGGACCTTAGCCTATGAAATGGTGCCACCCACATTTAGGATAGGTCATTCTACCTCAGTTAACCTAATCTAGATACTAACACCTTACAGACATGACAAGATGCTTGTCTCTTCCACGGTTCTAGATCTTGTCAAGTTGACAAATCAGTATTAACTATCACACTATAAAAATAGGGGAGATGGATGGATGATGTCACTGATTTATTGTGCAAGGTGGACCAACAAGCTGGGCTAAAGAGGGCTGATGTTCCATTTCTAGTCCAAAGGTCTCAAAGGGGCTTTTGTTGCAGATGATACCCAAATGCAGGATGCTGGAGGATTCTCTCGTGCTCAAAGGAGGCAGGTGTTTTGCTCTAGCCAGGCTTCCAACTGATTGGATGAGACCCACCTACAATCGTGAGGGTAATCTATTTACTCAAGGTCCACTAATTAAAATGTCAATCTCACTGATGGGAGTGCCCCATGCCTTTAATTCCAGCACCTGAGAGGCACAGACAGAATTGAGTTCCAGGACAGCCAAGGCTATATAGAGAAACCCTGTTTCAAAAACAAACAAAATAAAATGAATAAAATAAAATGTCAGTCTCATTAAAAAGCATCTTCATGGAAATACCCCATCACATTTAACACTAAAGCCTTCCTGCAGTCCTTTATTACAATGATTCAAGATATAACCTTTCATTAGCATTTCCCTAGGTTCCAAGGTTCCTTGATGTGGAGAACACCTTCCTTAGCCCCATGCAGAGGGAAAGAGAAAATAACAAAATCAAAATTTACTGGATACTTGAGAGACATCCTGTATTTTCTTATAGGAGAGCTCACTTAACTGAGTTATGAACTGGTTTATAGGTATGAGAACCGAGGCCCTGCCGGGCGGTGGTGGCACACACCTTTAATCCAGCACTCGGGAGGCAGAGGCAGGCAGATCTCTGTGAGTTCAAGACCAGCCTGGTCTATAAGAGCTAGTTCCAGGACAGCTTCCAAAGCCACAGAGAAACCCTGTCTCAAAAAAAGAACTGAGGTCCTAAGAGGACCAAGATGCCCAAGGTCAAATCATAAACATCAGGACTGAGATTTGGGTTATCTGGCTGCAAGATGAATTTGTCTTG